GAAATTGTCATTTTTGTTTGAAATTGTCAAATTGTTTTTCAAAGAGCTTGTGTTCTATATGGCAATCACATGTGTGCATAAAGGAAAATGACAAGTAATTTCCATTGTGTCTGGAGCACTTCTCACTCCTAGGGGAGTGAGGGTGTGGGTCAGGAAACACAAATGAAGGATGTAGCAGTGGTCTGAGATTTTAAGCTAATTAGAGATTTCAAGAGGGGTGAGAGAGTCTGGGCATGAGGTACCATCTATGCAAAGTCATGGAGGTTGGAGATGCAATGACGTGTGGGGGAACAGCAAGGAGACCAGTTTAGCTTAAACAGAAAATACATCAGGGATAATCATGTGAACTCACTTATTTCTCACTTGGCTGCAACACTTTGAAAATTTTTTAACTTCTCTATCAAGACCCAGTAAGCTCATTATTGGAAAAACCTCATCATTCTGCAAGATCCCATCAATGTTGGGCCTCCACCTCATCCCCACCCTTGGATTGGAGGGTGAAGCCATGAGCTCTCAAACCTCCATTTAAGGATGGAGCTCAGCCCCAGACATCTCATTTCTCAGGGGGCTGAACTACTCCCTTTTCTGACTTCTCCACCATGCTCCTGCCTCGGGCTTTTCAGTTTCCTTTGTGTTTTGTCTCCCCCAAAGAGATTGTAAACTTCTTGAGGGAAAGGATTGTCTTTCTTTTTATTGAATGTACCCCTAGTGCTTAGCACAGTGCCTGGCATATAGTAGGCACTTCATAAATATTTATTGACTAGGTTGAAGCCAGATTGTGAAGGTCATTAAATATGTTCTGGTAAATGTTTAATAACTGGTTTTCCTTTTAAAACAATGTATGCAGGACACATTTTAAAATATACTTTGCATTAGTTACATTTTCTTCATCATTTTCTTCAATCTAGAAAATCAACAATATGATAAATTGAGTCCTGATTTACAGTGTTTACTGATTTCTGAGGTATAAAGGCCTTGAAAATTTAATAATTTGCTCTTTAAAGCAGACAGGAGCTGGCTCTAGCACACTGTGAATGTTTATTCAATCAATCAATGAACATTTATTAAATACTATGTGCTAAGAACTGGGGATACAAAAAGAGGTGAAAGCTAGTCTGTGACCTATGGAAGTAGGGAGTCACCTAGGCTTTTTGATCTGCATAGTCACCTGGGCAGATCTGTGCTTTAGGAATATACATTTGGTAGCTGTGTGGAAGATGGACTAGAAAGGAAAGAGACCAGTTATGGGCTATTGCTGTAGTCCAGACAAGACGTAATGGAAACTTGAACTAAGGTGCTGGCTGTGTGAAAAGAATGAGATAGGTGTCATGCAGGTAGGACACGGCTGAGAACCTGGGTGGCTGTAAAGAAGATGGTGTATTAGGCAGAAATAGGGAAACTAGGAAGAGAGTTTGTTTTGTTTTGTTTTGTTTTAAGCTAAAGATTTCTATTTTGGACATGTTGAGTCTGAGATACATCCAGGTGGAGCTGTCCAGTAGGTAAAGTTGATGAGAAACCTGTGCTCATAAGAGAGTTGAAGCTAGATAGGTAGGTCTGGGAGTCATCTGTATGAGAATGGCAGGCCAGCCTAGTGCATAAAGAGGTAGTCTCAGAGTCAGGAAGACCTGGGATCCAGTCTTGTTTCTGATGCATGCTAGTTGTTTGACCACGGTCAAGCCACTTAACAGATTACTATCCCAGGCAATGGTCTTAGACCATTGCTGACCTTAACTGGTCCAGGACGTTTTCTTGCTGAGAGTTTCTTATACTGACGGAATCAGAGGTCAGGTTCTCCCTCTACCTTACCATACTATAGAGATTATCATTAACCTTATCTATGGGCACTGATGAAACTCACTTAGAAAATACAGAAAGAATAGAATAGAAGAGAGGCTAGGACAGAGTTCTGTGGTAATAGACATAGTGGAGCAGGTTATTGGTGATGATTCCCCAAAGGAGACTCAGAAATAGTCAGGTAGATGAACAATTAGCAGAGAGCAGTGTCCTGAAAATCCAGGTAGGAGGGAATAACCTGGAGGGAAGGGCTGGTCTGTAGTGTCAAACATTGTATAGAGGTCAGGAAAGAAGGGATTAGAGTCCCAGAGATGTCATGAAGGTAGAAATGACAAAAATTGACAACTAATTGGATGTGTGGGGATGAGGGAGCACTGGAAGGATGGTGGTGCTTTAGGAATAAGCAATCTAAATTCCTAATTTAACAATTAGAGACTGTTGGTAACCTTGGAAAGGGCAGTTAGGAGGTACCTGTGTGAAAACCTGATTGCAAAGATTTGAGGAATGAGTGGGAGGTGAGGAAGTGGAGAAGTGGAGGATTGTTTCTAAGAATTTGGTTGTGAAAAGGAGAAATATAGGAAAATAGCTTGAGAGAATGAATGGCTGGGTCAAGTGAAATTTTTTTTTTTTTTTTAAGAGGGGGCATGTTTGTTGGCATTAGGGAAGGAGGGGATGAGATCAAGGGCATATGGGCTGGCACTGACAAGAGGAAGCACCACCTCTTCCTCTGAGTTTGAAGAGGAGATGAGAATGGAGAATAATATTGAGGGGATTTGAAGTATAGAGTTGGAGAGAAGGTAAGAACATAAGGTAAGGTGAAGGAGCCTTCCCAGTGTCACCATGGTTTGTCCTTGTGCATTCCCTACAAAGGCTTCCTGCCCTAAGGCTGGCTTTCCTCATGTGAGATTTAGGATTTACTCTACCAACCCAAAAGGCAACTAGGTGGCATAAAATCAGGAGGACTCATCTTTCTGAGTTCAAATCTAGCCTCAGGTACTTACTAGCTGTGTGATCCTGGCCAAATCACTTAGCCCTGTTCGCCTCAGTTTCCTCATCTGTAAAAAGAGCTGGAGAAGGAAATGGCAAACCACTCCAGTATCTTTGCTGAGTTGTGAAGGGTTGGCCATGACTGAACAATAGCTACTAACCCACATCTGCGCTAATGGGTTGGGTCTCCAGAGTATGGCTGGCTACATCTACATATCAAGTTTGTAGGTTTACCCCTGTGGGTAGGGGAGAAGGATTCTTCTGGAGCCAAAGGCTTTAACCTCCATGTGACTAGTGATTAGTATACCAATATCATTTAACCCATTGATATCTCCTCAGTAACACTGATGACAAATTTGCATCAGTTTTTACAAAGGGATGTTTATTGGAAGGATATACTGAGAATCAAAGAACAGACACCTCTGAAACTTCTAGAACACGTCCAGGGGTGTTCTAGATCCAGTTTGAAGGGATCTCTTGAAAGTGTACTGTTACATTTTCTATGTGAGCAGGTATACCGGAAACATCAAACAATGCAAATCAGGGCTTGATTCATTCTTTTGTTGATTGTTTATATTTAACGTTGTGGTGGATAAAGTGTTAACCATGCAAATTAAACAGAAAAGTGTGTCGGTGTACCTCTCCCCCTCGGCAAGTTCTTAAATATTTATCGGCACACTACTGAATTGTGCAGCCCTCCCCTCTTTATACAACCATCAGGAGTTCACTACCAGGGTGGCAGAGTTGAAGCCTCTGGGCTTCTGGGTTGACCCACTACTAGGCTGGGTCAAACAGGTTGGCTCCTTCAGGGATTGGGTTGCTGTGCTTTCTGTCGGTTTTTCTGACCTTTGAAGCTCACAAGGTCGAAACCTGTTCATTCCTTCTCTAAAGCTCATTCGCCTAAGAGCCGGAAAGAAGAAACAGCACAGACAAGCAAAAACTTGTGCAATAGGTGCTGCCTCCCCCTCTTCCCACTTGGAAGCTTTCTAAAGTTTTTGCTTTATTCCGTACTAGGCAAGATATAGTTTAAGCATGCAGGCTCAGTTCATGTTCAGAAACCGCTAAAAACGCTTTTCTTCACTACACTGGACAAGAAACAATCACAGAATACCTTCCTATCATCGGAAGGGTGTCGGGTGGGGTATCAGAAAGGGACTCTCCCCTACACACTCTCAAGAACTTCCAGAAGTAGATTGACTTCCACGCCCACCCTCTACCCTTAGGGAGTTGGCTGCAGGCAGAGGCTTCAGTGTATTCTGGGAAGACTGACCCTCCAATGGCTGCTCCCGCCCTCTACCCTATTCCCTATCCCCTTGCACTCTAATGAATCTCTCTGGAGGGGTTGGATTGGATGACGTGGAAGATTCCTTCCAGTCCTAGCATCCTATGATCCCCCAGATTCTTGCCCAGGGGAGTCGGGGGGCTGCAGCGGAGTCCTCGCCTTCGGAAGCTCTGGATAGTCCAGGGACCAAAGTCAGAGAACACAATAGCGCAGAACGGATCCCTCGTATTTTGTCTGAATCCGGACTTGGCCACTTAGAACCTGTGTGACCGTAGTCCAGGAACTTCTCTCCTGGCCTCGGTTTCAGCAAGGACAAGTTGAAGGGGCTGGATCCAGCTCTAAATCTGTGGGGTCGGGAGGGCCAGGCTGTTGGAGGACTGGGTACATTGTGTCCCTCTCCCCCTTTCCCCTCAGTCCCGGGGAGGCTGAAGCTGCCGGGGAACCGCGGCACGTGGAGGTCGGCACCCTGGAGGATCTTCGGAGGGGGTTGGGGGCGGGGGGACTACTCCGCAGGTGCTGGCGATTCGAGAAGGGGCCGGGCTGGGGGGAGAGCAGCCACAGGGGAAGGTTCCTAGCACTGCAGGAAGGGCCGGGAGGTATTTTCACCCCACCGCAAGACGCACGTGGGGATTTCTTTTATTGGTTTTTAGGCATGCAGAGGCGCTGGGGAGCCCGCAGGAGCGTCCGAGCCCCGGGTGAAAGGAACACTCTGCAGCTTCCCAGAGCGAGGCGTCCGCGGAGGAATCAGGTTCCCCCGCTAAGTCCGGGTTAGGGCTCCGAGAGCGGCGGCGCAGGCGGCAAGGGGGGGGCAACGACGCGCTCCCCTGCGCTCCGCCCCGCCCCCCCGCTCACCCCCTCCCCTGCCCGGAGAGGTCACGTGGCTGCGCGGCGCGCGGTGGAGGGGGGTGGGGGGCTAGTATGTAGGAGAGGAAGAAGGAGGAGCGGCGGCAGCGTGAGGAAGGGAGGCGGTGGCGGTGGCGGTGATACCTTGAGCATCCTGGGGCCGGCCGGGCCATGAGGAGGTATCGGGCGTGGGCGTGGGCCCGGGCCGGGGCTGAGGAGGCAGCGGGGAAGGCCAGGGGTCCCGCAGGACACAAAGAGCCAGGGCCCGGCCGGGGCTGAGGAGGCTTGGGCCGGGGCGCCCATGAGGATCCGAGGACCCGGGGGACTCCGGAGGAGCCGGGGAGAAGGGGGGCGGATGAAAATCTGAGGGCCCGGGGGTGGGCTGAGGAGTATTCGAGGGACAGGGGGGACTGAGGAGGACCTGGAGGGGCTGAAGAGAATTGGAGGGACGGGGGCGGGGAGAGGGGGGGGGGGGGCCGAGGAGGACCTGGGGGGGCTGGGGAGAATCTGGTGGGGGCTGAGGAGGATTGGAGGGACTGGGGGTCTGAGAATTGGAGGGACTAGGGGTGAGGAGGGACTGGGAGGGCTGAGAAGAATCTGTGGGGGGTCTGAGGAGAATTGAGGGGGGATGAGGACCCGGAGGGGCTGGGGAGAACCTGAAGGTGGAGGGACTGGGGGTAAGGAGGGACTGGGAGGGCTGAGAAGAATCTGTGGGGGGGGGCGGAGGAGTATTGGAGGGCGGGGGGGGGTTGGGGGGATGGTGTGGGGTGAGGAGGAACTGGGGGGGCTTCTTCCGCATGGGGCTGTCGGGTTATTGCTGGAGCATATGTGGGGGGGGGTCTGCCCACCCTCCAGGGCTCCTTAGGGCCCATTTGTTGCTCTCTGGGATCTGTCCTAAGACAGTGGGGTTGAGGGTTCAGATTTAGCTTGTCTCCCACCCAGGAAGGGCAGAGGGTGAATGAGGCAGCCAAAGATGGGGGTCACATTGAGTCAGGACCCCAGAGATATTTCTCTGGGACAAAGGGTATTATGTTATACAGTTGCAACTAGGCAGGGTGATTGGGGCTTTGGCCCAGAGAATGAAATTTAGAGGTTGTTGACAGCACTGTGTGGAAACACCCAACCTGCCAGACTACTAGCTGGGGAGAACTTTTGTATTCCCTTCTCTCTCCCCCCCCTCCACCCCCATTCAGTATTTGGCGTTCTGTTCCCTACAGAGTAGTGCCTGCTCCCTTCTTTTTTTTTTTTTGGCTAGGTGCAAGAATGCCTAGAACCAGGTACCATGTAAAAAGATGCATTTGCTATTTTTCCAGAGAATGGGTACAGTGTTTTAAAAGGGGAGGGAGAAAGAGTTCGGTAGGGTAGAAGAGTCTTTAGAGATTATCTAGTCTCATTTCCCCCACAATTTTATGGTTGAGGAAACTGAGGCCCAGAGAAAGGAAGTGGCTTGTTTTAGGCCACACAGTTTTAAGTAGCTCTGCTACTTATATATTATACTTTTCACTACATAGTATTGACTGTTGAATTCCTTCTACTTAGCCCCTCAGCTATGTGGTATTGGAAGTTGAGGTGGTAGCTGGAGAAAGGTACCCAGACCTTAGGGCAGCCTTGGTCAGAGCAGCAACCCACCAGGGTACAGAATCTGTTATTTGGGAATTTGCTGTGCCTTGGGAAGGAAAAAGTGAGTTTTTTAGAATTGAAGTCTGGACTACTAGAAACATTAATATTGTAATAGTAATTCCCAACATTCATAAATCAGTTTTCAAGGTGCTTTATACTTATTATTTAATATGATCTTCACAGGTTTTTTATTTTAGAGAGGTATTTATATATTCATATTTATGATTCTTTTCCAAAAAGTTTTCAAACATTTCATTTTCCCATAAATGTAATAAAGTCAAATTAGCTCTGTGATTTTTTTTTTTTAAGGCAATTGGGGTTAAGTGACTTGCCCAGGGTCACACAGCTAGTAAGTGTTAAGTGATTGGTCTGAGGTGATATTTGAACTCGGGTCCTCCTGACTTAAGGGCCGGTGCTCTATCCCCTGTGCCACCTACCTGCCAAGAGGCATCTGTGAAGAAAGGGCTGGCCTTGGAGTTTGGAAGACCTTGAATTACAAGTCCTGTCTCTGAAACAAACTGGATGTTGGATTCTGGGCAAATCATTTAGCCTGTTAGTACTCTCTCCAAGTAACTTTTTAAGACTACAGGTTATAGAATAGTTTCATCTTTGTGTTTTTAAAGGGAGTTTCCTCACTAGGAATTCCTGGTACCAATGAAATCACAGGTCTGGTTAAAACAAAATTAAACTCTTTAACATACTATATATATCTCTTTCCTGTCATTGAGAGAATGGTCTTTCTATTTTATATAAATATTAAATGCTGAAGATTATCACTTAGGTGCAGCTTAGTGCCTACCTTAGGTGTCTTGACCCTAGTGAATTTCAGTTGAACTCGACATATTTTTTGATTACCTTTATTTTTTATTTTTACGTTCTTTTATTTTTATATGACCTTCATATCCAAATATCTTTCCCCTTCTTTCCCACCTAGAGGATCATTTCCTGTAGCAAAGAATAAAAAAAATGAGGGAGGAAAAAAGCAGTTTAGCAAAGCTGAGAGGTGGAACCCAGCCTGACAATATGCAATTCAACATACATTAAACAAAATTTATTGCTATTTTTGTTTTTACAGTTCTTGCATTTTACTTTGTATTATCTCCCTCTCCTCCCCAGAGCACCATTACTTTTTTTGTATGAATTTATTTTTTAAATTAAAATTTTGTTTTTTCTCACTTGTACGTCCTTCTCTCCCATAGAGATAAAAAAAGTGAAAACCTATAACAAGTAGTCATAGTCAAAGTAATTCCTGTAATCACGGTACCAAAAAAAGAAATGTCAAGTCTATCACCTCTGTCACAAAGTAGGTAGCTTTATTATAAGCCTTCTGGAATTATAGTTGGTCATTATGTTGACCAAAGGTCTTAACTTTTTCAGAGTTTTTTTTATCTTTACTGTGCTGTTACTGTACAAGTTCTGGTTCTGCTTACAGAGTGATGTTCATTTTGTTCAAGTCTTAACGGGTTTCTGAAACTATCCCTTTCATCTATTCTTACAACGCAATTATTCCATATATTCATATACCGTAACTTGTTTGGCATTCCCCAGTTAATGACCACCTCCTTAGTTTCCAGTTCTTTGCCACTACAGAAAGAGCTTGAACCACCCCTTACATTAAAAAACTAAAAAGAGGGGGAAAAAACCCAGTTTAGTAAAACCAACTAATATATCAAAAAGTCTGACACTGCAGTTTAATATAAAGTACCTATTCTGTTTGGCCATTGCCCAGTGCTTTTTCTGTTATAACCAGCTATATGTTAGTGTTGGAACTCTTTGGTCCAGGAATATTAGTCAGGAATATTTGAGTGATTGAAATGGTTAACTAAAATGGGCCTAGAGTATACTTCAGGAAGATGATGGAATGCCTTCAGATGGGGGAAGTAATGGAATAGGAAATAATTGATTCATAATTTACTAGTTTAAAAAAAATCTTTTTTAGTTTTATTTGTATATTTTTACTCAGAGTTTTCTCTTTCTTAGTCCAGAAAACACCAAGCAGTACTTCCTTCCCCTCATTTACCCTCCCTTTGACTTTCTTACTTTGCGGTCGCAGGTTGAAGCCTTGGTCTAGGTTACTCCTCCCACTGCTTTATTGTCAGACCATTACTTGGGTGGTTGCCTGCTTTCTTTTCTCGACTTAACTTGATAGGAAACCATACAACTGACTTACTCTAATACTCCTGCTTCCTTCCTCCCCCCTTTCCAATTAGTGTGGCAGTGTAGCTAGATTATTATTGCTGCTCCAAATTACACATCAGCCATGACTATTCCTGGAGGGCATATCCTTAGACTGTCCAAATTGTCTGTTTACTTCTCTATAGGGCTGGGTGCTTGCCGGAAAAAAATTGTGTAAATGTTTGTTCCTAATAGAGTAAATGTGCTACAGTTTCTGAATTAGCAAGCATATTAGGTTGGACCGTGGCAGAACCACTTAGATTAGTTTTTCCTCTTGTACTTCTTAGGCAAGAAATTCAAGTTTGTGGTGGAACTTAGCAGTAACTGAATCTTCTGTACTCCAGCCCTCCTCACCACTACCCCAACACCCACATTCATATAGATTTCACATTAGAGGATGCTAGTAGTCATTCTTTGTATTCTTATTTCCTGCTGTGGCTTCTTTGACATAGCAGTCTTCTTACCCTCCCATTTTGGAGACTTACTAGAATCTGGAGTGAATTGGCTCATGTTAATGAAGATAATTATTTTTGTTTTGTACCTGTAATTTCATTAGCATAAAGAAGTCTCTGGTTGAAATTCCCTCCATATATGCAGACCTACAACTTATCTGTAACTTGTAAAGAGTTGCTCGAGTCACTGAAAAGTCAAGTGACTTTTGTTCATGGACACACAGCTAGTATGTAATGTCAGAAGCTAGACCTGAACCTGGATCTTGCTGGCTCTGAATTCCCCATTCTATCCACACTGCCACGTTCCCTCAATTACTGTTAGCAAAAGTTTTTTCTCACTTGATATTCATAACAACCTGGTACATAGTAATGCTAGAGACTTATTTTGAAGAAGAAAGACACATTAATGATTAGACAATTTGTCAATATTTGTTCCTATTTTTTCCCCATTAGGTGGATGTTATTACTTTACTGTCTTAATCTTAATTGCCTGGAAAAGGTCTGTAATTTGTGTGGAGTCTTATATTGTTGGTATGTATTATTAGGAAAGTGCTGGTTTTGCCCAGTGGTTGAGAGGAATTGTGTTGGAAAAGTTGATAATTAAGAGTGCCTTTTGTAATTGGCTTATGTTATTGAGCCTTTTAAGCTATGTTTCTCTGTAAGATTTTATGTTCAGGTGAATCCTTTCCTTCACTGCACTTCAGTCAGATTAATCACAAGGTGTAAGGATGTGAATAATGGGGTGTGTGTGTGTGTACGTACATACGTGTATGTACTGGCACCTGGTCTGGTTTGGAGAGGTGCGTTGTGGTAACCATGTCAGGCTCAGTGGTACAGGGAGCATGGAGTAGGGATGGCAATGTAGTGGAAAGAGTACAGGTTTGGAATCAGAAGAGTGATTTAAATCTCACTGCTGCTTTTTTTTTTTTTACCTTTGTGACCTTGAGCAAGCACCCCACAATTTCTGAGTTTTAGTTACCTCATCTTTAAAATTAGTTGTTGGACTAGATGATTTCTAAAGTTCTTTCTGGCTGGACTTATTCCATATGACTTGGTTGGCTTTGACTCCTACATTGGTCTGATTGAGCCATCTGCTTCTGAGAAAGGTTGGCTAGGACGACTTGCACTGGGTATTTCTGCAAGTAAAAAGTACAGACGTTAATTATTTTGGACAAGGAAAGGTTATTGGTGCCTGAGCACTTTCTTTACTTTTCTTTCCAATTGTTTTCTTTACTAATGAATAAATAAAAAATATTCTGTGTGTTCCATTGTGTGTGACTAACTTTTTTTCCTGCCACCTGGTTAAGGAAGAAATGCTAATGAGGATCTTTTCTAATAGTCATTCTTTTTTACTTGGCACTGATATTAGGATCCAGGATAAGGTGTTAAATATAGTAGTGAGTGTTCTACACTCCAAGGATCCTGGCCTTAAGAAAGTAAAGGGAGTAGTTAGAGCTGGCTTTGCTGTCAGCTGTTTTGGATTCTTTTTTAATTTGGGTGTGAGGGAAGCAAGATGACAATTTTGACACAATTGTATATTGTTTCCCTCATTTGGATTATTAGCTCCCTAAAGGCGGGGTTCCTATCATTTCTTTCTTTTGCATCCATCATAAGTTATAGCAGGTTGGGCACATTGGCATCATTTATAATTATTTTTGACTGACTACAATGCATGTTCTTTGTATGAAGAACACAGGCATACACATACACAGAGGCATCACTTTATTTACACACACATACATTTGCCATCATTTGTGCACAGACACCTTGGATTGAGAAGCAGAGGATAAAATGGTGCTATCCCCAAGCTGAGCAATTAAGTTCCCATGGAGTGAGGTGACCAATCCTGCTGATCCCAAGTAGAGTCGTTGCTTTTTATTGAGAATATGTTTCCGGGGGCACCTAGGTAGCTCAGTGGATAGAGCACTGGCCCTGGAGTCAAGAGGACCTGAGTTCAAATTTGACTTCAGACACATAACAATCACTAGCTGTGTGACTCTGGGCAAGTAATTTAACCCCAATTGCCTGACCAAAAAAAAAGATACCAAAAGAAACAAAATTGGTGAAATGTTAAAAGAGGCAAAAAAATCCACAAGAGAATATGTTCCTGGATAGGTGAGGTCTCAGGTTGAAGGCAAGATCTTTTAAATTGTCAGGTTTCTTAAGAACCGGTTTTCTCTTAAATCACTCTTGTTTTTAGTCTTAGTTTCTGTTGAATGTCATCAGGTCTGGTTGGCTTGTAGCTCTAGGGACTATCCTTCTGCTCTGGTGACTCTAAGACCTTTACCCATCAATCCCCGTGATGCAGGGGCTGATTAGATCCTTAGGTTTTGTAGTAAGGGGATTCTTTACTTTCTACAGGCTCTGTTTCCACCCCCTCCCCCCCATCCATAACAGTTTATTTTGTACTTCATCCTTGATGAGCTCTTTGGTACCTTTGGAGTTGTCCTGTGCCCTAACTCTTAACCTGGGATCTGTGAACTTTGTGTTTTTTATAAAAAATATTTTGATAATAGAATTCCAATGTAATTATTTTCTTTTGTAATCCTATGTATTTTATGCAATTAAAATTGGAAAGGGTCCATAGCACCAGATTGCCAGAGGACACAAAAAAGGTTTAAGATACCCTGCTTTAGAAGTGTCCTTGTCACCAGCCCCACTCCTGAGTTCAAACCCAGGGTTTTCTTTGTTATAACATCTTGAGTTCACATGGGACTTCTGTGAGGGTGTGTAGATCTAACTTGCTCATCTCCCATGTCCTTGGTGGGGATCAGGGGAAGCTTGTTTCAAAGATTTGGGGCTTAAAACCTAATTAACCTCAAGTTAATGCTGAACATGGGTAGGATTAGAATCTGTGGGGGAAAAGGTAGATTGGGGGAAGTGCCTCTGTAGCCTTTCTGTATCCCTCTTTAGTCAGACTTAGAACAGCACCATTTACAGCAACAAACTCATTTGCATTGGTTTGATTTCAGGTCCCAGTAACTGATGCTGTAAAGAATCTAACACACCATGGAAGAAAGGCAAAATGTCAATCGCATACCTGAATACCGCCCCGTCCACCAAGAGGGCCATCTTGGTGCTGGTGACAGCAACGTGTCATCTGAGGGGCCACAAGAAACTCTTCAGCTGAAGAAGGAAATCTCTTTGTTAAATGGGGTTAGCCTAGTGGTAGGCAATATGATTGGATCAGGGATCTTTGTCTCTCCAAAGGGGGTCCTGGTCCACAGCGCCTCCTATGGGCTGTCACTTGTGGTGTGGGCCATTGGAGGTATCTTCTCTGTGGTTGGTGCCCTCTGTTATGCAGAGCTGGGAACCACCATCACCAAATCTGGAGCCAGCTATGCTTACATTCTGGAAGCCTTTGGGGGCTTCATCGCCTTTATCCGTCTGTGGACCTCACTGCTAATCATTGAGCCTACCAGCCAGGCCATCATTGCCATCACTTTTGCTAACTACATTATCCAGCCTGTGTTTCCTTCTTGTGAGCCACCATACATAGCTTCTCGTCTGCTTGCTGCTGCTTGTATATGTAAGTATGGGGGCAGAATTTAAATATGATGAATAATTCCTTATCATGTAATATTTTGTACTTTTCTCACTTGATCCTTGCCTAATACCCAGTCCTATTATGTAGGTAGACATGTAGGCTATTGTGAGCCCCAGTGTATTATATGAAGTATGTATTTTAGGAAGGGGAAAGAAAGGTGCCAGTGTGTCCAAGGGGGTGTGTGTGTGTGTGTGTGTGTGTGTGCGTGCGTGCGTGCGTGCGTGCGCGCGCGCGCGCGCACACGCATGTCTAAGAATTTTTATGTTCCCTGTTTCTTTCATACTTGGCTCTTGGTGGAGCTGTTTTCTGTGGTAGGATTTCATTTTTGAGGAGAACATCAGTCACTGCCCTTAGCACTCTTATGTCCATGGGACTTTTTGGGTGTATTGGGGCCAGGGGAGCTCAGCATATCCATGATGAGATCATAGGATGATTGGGGCCTAACTAAAGTAATTGGAACCTAAGTCCTTGTCTCAAAACAAGGTTTGTTTTGTTTTCCAAAGGCTTTTGTGGAGATAGTTTATAGGATGACACCTTCCTATTTTGATGGCCAAGGGCCTTCTCTGAATAGCAACTCCCCATTCCTCTCTAATCCCTCACAGGTACATTTGCCTCTTTAGTGTTTCAGTATTTTTGGCTGTGTAAATAAATCTTGAATGCACTGCCTCCCTGTCTCAGGTCTCTCTTGTCATCTTACTGTTTGTGCTCTGAGGCTAGAAGGAGGTCAGAAGTCTCTGGGGTAAAATTACCAAGGGCCAGCCAGAAGATTGTTGAAAGTCCACTGAGCCCTGACGAGTCAGTCGTTCTAATGGAGAAATGGCACTGATGCTCATTATTGGTACTGCCAGAAGCATTTCGTTATCATTAGTTCTTTCCTTATCTCTTTTCAAAAGGTTTAGCAGCATTTCTAGTTTGTTCATTGTTAAAAAAATAAGCTAAAAGTATCTCAGCAAAGAGGCAATGTGTTGTAGTGCATAGAGAGCTGTGCTCAAAGTTAGCAGGTCCCACCTCTGATGCTTTCAGGCTATGTGTCACTTCACCACTCAGTCTTCTGGGAAATGCTGTTAAGACTGTAAGGTGCAGAGAAAGTGCTACTGATGTCCACTGGTTGAGGGGGTTTCCTCACTGGAGAGTTCCTTAGAGCAATGGAATCACAGGTATATTCCCTATTCTTAAATAGGATAGAATTAATTTTAAGAAAGTGCCCAATCCTCTATGGTGTAGGCAGCTTGTAAATGACAGCAAAACTCTTTGAATCCCATGAAACACTAATAGGGGGTCTGCCCTTGGCTCTGTGAGGGGGTTGACTTATTAATTTGCCTTTGAGTTGAGGAGAAGCTCCGGCCTGTTAGAAGTATGACTAGGTCACTGTGATACTTGGCAGCTCAGCTGATGTTTCCTTTTCTCCAGACTACCTAGCCAACTGTGGTACTGTCTTTTGCCCAGAAATCCTATCTCGTATCTGTGATTGGATTAGAGGATAGAAGTGTCTGCTAGGGCTGAGGCCAGGCAGTAAGACCTTACCCAGGACCATAGATGGCCATTATTGGTTCAGCTATTTCTTTCTTTAAAGAAAAAAAAATTTGAATTAAAATTTTTTCAATCAGTAAAAAATCTTCCTTACCTTTCTTCCACTCCCACAGCAACAATTGAGATAGAAAGAAAAACATGTCTAGTCAAATAAATTTCCACATTGGCTATGTCCAAAAAAAGATTTCACAGTCTGCACTCTTGAGTCCTTTACCCCTCTATCATCAGGTGACATATTTCATCTAATGATTCCTTTGGAATTGTGGTTGGTCATGATCAACTTGTTTGTCTTTTGCAATGTTACTGTCATTGTATAAATTGTTCTATTTACTCTGCTTAATTTACTCTGTGTCAGTTCATACCAGTCTTCTCAGGTTTCTCTGAAACCATTCCCTAAATCATTTCTTGCAGCATACTAGTATTCCATCACATTTATGTACCAAAACATAACCAGCCATTTCCCAATTGTGGGGCACCTGCTCAGTTTCAAAATCTTTGCCACTGCCAAAAGAACTATAAATATTTTTTGATTTACTTAGGTTAAGGGAGGGATTGGTCCTATTATTTTTCTTTTTCCCCATTCTCCCTTCTCACCTTTCCCTCCTGTTTCCCTGTTGAATAAAATATTTCTGTACATGTGTGTTTTTTACTTCTGACCATTTCAGATGAGAGTGGTGTTACATTCTTACTCCTTCCTCCTTGTTTGTGTAAACTTCTATTTGTGTACCATGACTATGTGAGATAATTTTCTCTAACGTCCTCTCCCTTGCCCTCACCTATTGCTCTTTGTCTGCCCTTCCATTTTTCTTTTAGAATCAAGATAGAAGAGAACTATTCTCAGGCCCTCTGTCTCATCAGACTCCCTCTGTGACCTGATGATAATAGGTTTCAGAGGGGACACATGCAGGAGTGTGTTGGTAAGTGTAAGTGCCAGTTCTCTGAAAGGATGACACACTTTTAAGTCTTATCTGCATTATTATCATTTTAGCACCATTTTCTTAAGTTCAGACAATCAATTTCTGAGGTGTAAATACTCACATTGAAAATGTAACAATTGATTCTTCTGAACCTTTTAAGAGTTGGTTCCTGCACACACAGGGACACATGTATCATCTCCTCTATGAGGATATAAACAATTTAGACTTGTTTAGTCCCATATTTATTCCTGTTAACTTTTTTATATTTCTCTTAACTCCTATGTTTGCACTTCAAAGTTTCTATGTAGCTCTGGTCTTTTCACTTGAATTCTTTCTTTCTGGCTGCTTGCAGTATTTTTTTCTTTGACCTTGAAACTCTGGATTTTGGCTATGATGTTTTTGAGTTTTCATTTTGGGATTTCTTTTGGAATTAACAAGGATTTTTTTCTGTTTCTAAGGTCTGGGTAGTTTTATAATTTGTTGAAATAGTGATGTCTAGGTTTTTTTTCTTTTGGTTCTGGCTTTTTGGTAGTTAAGTGATTCTTAAATGATTTCTCCACAGTCTGTGTTCCAGGTAAGGTTTCTTTCTGTCTCTCTTTTTTTTTTTTTGGTGAGGCAGTTGGGGTTAAATGACTTGCCCAGGGTCACACAGCTAGTAAGTGTCAAGTGTCTGAGGCCTGAACTCAGGTCCTCTTGACTCCAGGGCTGGTGCTCTATCCACTGCTCCACCTAGCTGCCCCTGGGTAAGTTTTTTTTTTTTTAACGAGATACCTTACATTTTCTTTTATGTTTTCAGCATTTTGATAATTTCTTCTCGTCTCATGGAATAACTGTCTTCTATTTGCTCCATTGTAGTCTTTAGGGAATTTTTTTCTCAGACATGGTTTTGTACCTTTTGTGCCAGTCTTTTCAAATCCTTCTTCCATAGCTCTTACTTTTCCAATTCTTATAGCTCTCTTGTTTCATTTATAAAAGTATTTTAAAGTCTTTTTAAAAAGTCTTTATCTTTTCCAGTAATCCTAGTTGATTACCTATGTTCACACTTTAAGGCTTTGCTTGTAGATATTTTGGAATCTTTCTCTTCTTCTGTGTTTGTGTTTTATGTGTCCCTGATAGTATAACGGTTTTTTATGGTGAGATTTTTTTTTTTTTCATTCTTCTAGTCTTTTTCCTAACTTCTTTATTTATGTCAGGGCTGGGCTGTACACACTTTTGGAGGGAAGGTCTGGGCAGATTCTGTTGCTGCTTTCTTGGGGTTTTGAGTGTTTTGTTGTCATCCCAGGCTGTCAGGGACAGATAGTTCAGTCTGGGGAAGTGCAAGCTTTCATTGTTTCTAAAGTGGTCTAATCCAGGGCAGAGGCTGAGTGCTGCCCTCCTGGTCTGAGTTCTTCAAGGTTTTGGCCTGGGTTTGGTCTGAGCAACATACCTCTGGACTTGCCCCATTTGTAATCCCAACAAATTGCTACTGGACTTAGCCACTATCAGCCAGACAGAACTATAGGCTTCCTTTTGATCTGAGATTCCTGACCTGGTTATTCCTCTGCAAACTTTAGACAAGGCTGGTAGCTGGAAATGACATCCTGCTTCAGGGGTGTGCTGAAGGCAGCTTGAACTAGTTTCAGAGATCTAGTTTTAAAATTTTCAGTGTGACCATTTACACCTCAGAAATAGGCAAATGCTACAAATCAGAGCATGATTTATTGTTTTATTGATTGTCTATACTTAAAAGTGATAAGGAAAATGTTAATAATGCACAGTATGTACTTTTTTTGAAGAGTTGGTTGTTAAACATTTACCAGCACACTTCTGCCCTGCCCCACTCCTGAAGTCAGAGCTACACAGCTAACTGTGGCTTGCTTCTGAACTTGCTTCTTGCTTAGCCTATATTCTAGGGCCCGTGGCCACTCCTCACTCAGGAATACCACTCCTATGTACAGGTCCTTTTTTCTGGCTCTTCTGGATCTGTGACCTGGAACTGGCTAGTAGATTTAATTTTAATTTTTTTCAATTTGATATAAGCAAACTTTCTTAACATTCTTTTAAAAAATGTGTAATTCTAAATTACTGCCCCACTCCTTGAGAAGGCAAACAATTTGATGTAGTTTATATATGTGCAGTCATATAAAATATTTACTTATTAGCCTCACCGCAAAAGAAAAACCCAAGAATAAAGAAAGTTAAAAACTATGTTTCAATCTGTATTCAGATGCCATCAGTTGTTTCTCTGGGGGTGGATAGCATTTTTCATTGATTCCTTTGGAATTGGCTTAGATCATTGTATTGCTGATAATAGCTAAGTCATTCACAGTTGATCATCATACAATATTATAGTTAACTCTGTACAATGTTCTCCTGGTTCTGCTCATTTCACTCTGCATCAATTCATGTGAATCTTTCCAGGTTTTTTTGAAATCTACCTGCTTATCACTTCTTGTAGCACAATAGTATTACATTATATTCACACGCCACAACTTGTTCAGCAGTTCTCTAATTCATGGGCAACACCTCAATTTCCATTTCTTTGCCACCACAAAA